CAGCAGCAGCAGCAGCAGCCAGCAGCAGCCAGCAGCAGCCGCAGCAGCAGCAGCCAGCAGCAGCCAGCAGCAGCCAGCAGCAGCCAGCAGCCAGCAGCAGCAGCAGCAGCCAGCAACAGCAGCAGCAGCAGCCAGCAGCAGCAGCCGCAGCAGCAGCAGCAGCCAGCAACAATTTGCAGCGGTGTACACACCTGAGACCTCATACACTTAAGGGGCATGTTGTTGGGGGACCTCACTCTTATGAAGACCGCCGCTGGGATTTGCAATGAAAACATCCTGGGATAAGAGTTTTAATACGGTTTTTTTTTCCAGCTCACCTGCTTTGTCTTGAAACCTGATGTGGAACGCTTAAATCGGACGGTTCCCTTCTGTGTTTCTATGATGGCAGGCAGGACAGACCGCTTGTGTTTTTGCTCATGTCGCTCACCAGGCACGGTCAGCCCTAAGAGAGGGTGAACGCAAGGCAAGTGGCAAGGCGCTGGCGGCGTCGTTTCAGAGCCGCGTCGGCGTTCCCCATTGTTCGCAGTGTTTCTACATGTGTGTTGGACAGTGTCAGTCTTCTTTTTGAGGCCTGGGTTTTGCAGAAGCTGTCCTTTATTTCGGGTCAGGTCTGACAGGCTCAGGCTTCAACGCACGTGAGACAGCCTCAGAAAAAGGCAGCGTCACGCAGACTCTTCCATCCCCCGACATGTTTTTGACGGCTGTGACTGCTGGAGAGCTTTTGCGGCTTTCCCGGTTGGCCGTGAAGTATAAGTTTACTAGAGGTTTCAACGTGCGCAATTCTACTTGAGTTTTGAGGCCTGCGGGGCTGTGGCGAAACAAATTCTTAGCTTAGCTAAACTGCAGAGTCATGCTCTGGCGGGGGGGTGTACTGCGGTGCTGCCATATCTCATCGCGCCGCACTACCGCGCCCGCGCCACGCAAGCGTGCCCAGTGCCGCGCTACCGCGCCGCCGCACCACGCAGCGCGGCGGCGCGGCGCGCGGGTGTGATGAGGAAAGCTTGCGCGGCGCGGTGGTGCGGCCTGCGGCGCGCGGCGTAGGAGTGAGTACGCCCAGCGGCGGCTTGCGGCGTGGAGATGCCTGTCTGCGCACGCTTGCGCAGAGGGGTGGGGGGGGGTTGAGCGAGGCGGGAGGTTACAAGAAACGCTGCGCGCGCCTGAAAATTGGTGGGCTTGCGGGAAAACACTAGCATTTTCAAGGTACTTTTTTCTGACCGACAAATTTGGTAGTGCTTCGCCTAGTGCTTTTCTCCTGTTTCCCTAGGATTTGGTTGCGTTTTGCTTGGCCGGCTTTGCAGGGTTTTTGGGGTACGGCTGGTGCGGCGCGGGCATATGGTCGGTACAGTACGGGGGATGTCCGGGTAGTTAGCGGTTTTGTCCTGAAAGTTTGTGGTGTTTTCCTTGTTCTTTTCTGTACAGCCCCAGAGTGTACCACGGAATTGGTTATGCTTTCCTGCAGGTGCGCATTTGTTTTCCAGCAAAGTGGTGGTGGGGGTGGCGTACGGCCCCATATCGGAGCCCGCGTGGCTGGCCTTACACGGCCGCGGTCGCAGCTCTGAAGCAAGGTCAAATGCTTCGCCCGGCAGAGAACGCGCGCCTCCGCTGGAACTGCGGCAAGGAGAGCGAACACTGCATTCCTTTCAGATTCACAAGCGCGGTTTTCGTTCTGCGAGGAAGGAGAAACCGCAGGTGAAGCAATCTGACCTGAGATGCTGCTAAGCGCAGTCTACATGCTGAGCGCCGGCGCGATGGGTGTGGTCTGCTGGCTCGGCCGCGGGTGCGGTCTGCTGCTCCGATCGGCGCCGCGAAGCATGCGGTTTGATGGCGCGACAGGCGCAGTCTGCTGGCACGACGGTACGGGCTGCTTGTGCGACAAGCACTGGGATAGGGTCGTACTTACGCTGGAGTTATAAGTGACTTAGCACTTAGCTTGGACTTATAAGTAACTTATCTTGAACTTAGAAAGAGGTTTTTCTAAGTCCGCTAAGTTCATTCTAAGTGCATTGAGTTGGCAAACACACGTTTTGAAGCATGGCAGTGATGAAGCATTACGCGCTGGAAAGCACACATTTTCGTGTGACTCAACGCAGCAGGGCAGGCGCGCGCGCATGCAGTTTACGCTGTTTGTTCGCGCTGCTTCGCACGCTTGGCTCGAGGGAGCCGTGGCATTTTTTGCACTGATTGACTCGGTTGAATTTTGTTTTGCGATAATCGTTTCTATAGCGGTGTCTCCGCTGGCGGCCGGTCCGCCTTAATATAGTCGCACGGGGCGGTTTCTCCGCCGGCGGCCGGTCCGCCCGTTTTGCTTTTCTCGTTTGATGATATATCATTGTAGCGGTGGTTCCGCTGGCGGCCGGTCCGCCAAGCTATTTTTGCCACGTTCATTTTCATTTCGAGATGGCACTTGAAGCGGTTGTCCGCTGGCGGCTGGTCCGCCCAGGAATTTTTCGGCGTTGATTTTTATTTCGAGATGGTACTTGAAGCGCTGGTCTGATGGCACTTTGCGATTTTTTGCATGTTTGATTGTGAGTGCGCGGATGAAAGGCTGCAAGACTCAATCCAGGCTCCAGAATCCAGACTGCTGACTGCAAACTCCACACTCCAGACTGCAGACTGCAGACTCCAGAATGCAAACTCCAGACTCCAAACTGCAGGCTCCAGAGTGCAGACTCCAGACTGCAGACTCCAGACTGCAGACTGCAGACTCCAGACTGCAGACTCCAGACTGCAAACTCCAGACTCCAGACTGCAGACTGCAGACTCCAGACTGCAGACTGCAGACTGCCAACTCCAGAATCAAGACTGCAGACTCCAGACTGCAGACTCCGGGCTCCAGACTGCAAAATCCACAGGCAGACTGCAGACTCCAGACTGCAGACTCCTGACTCCAGAATCCAGACTCCTGACTCCAGAATTCACAGTCCAGACCCCAGAATCCAGCACCCAGACAGCCCCGCCCCAAAGCCCGGAAAGGCCGGTGCAGTTTTTTCGAACTTAACAAAACTTAACTTAGCTTAACCTGGGCGAGTCGTGTGGAGCCGTGGAGTCCCTATTGTAACTCAATCAACTTAACTGCCAAACTTTCCCCGTGGGGCCCAGTTGCGTCACCACGACTTAACATAACTTAACTTGGCCCCGTGGCCGAATTCCACCAGAAAATGATCAGGATCCTGGAGTCAGGAGTTATTGTGGAGTCTGGAGTCTGGAATCTGGAATCTCGAGTCTGCAGTCTGGATTCTGGAGTTGGCAGTGTGGAGTCTGGAGTGTGCAGTCCGGAGTCTGGAGTCTGCAGTCTGGAGTCTGCAGTCTGGAGTCTGGAGTTTGCAGTCTGGAGTGTGAGTCTGGAGTCTGCAGTCTGAAGTCCGCAGTCTGCAGTCTGGGCTCTGCAGTCTGGAGTCTGCAGTCTGGAGTCTGGAGTCTGCAGTCTGGAGTCTGGAGCTTGCAGTCTGGACTGCAGTCTGCACTCTGCAGTCTTTTTTTCTGGAGAGTTGGCAGTCTGCAGTCTGGAGTTTGCAGTCTGGAGCCTGCGGTCTGGGGTCTGCAGTCTGCAGTGTGCAGTCTGGAGTTGGTCTGCAATCTGGATTCTGGAGTTGGCAGTCTGGAGTCTGCAGTCTGGAGTCTGGAGCTTGCAGTCTGGAGTCTGCAGTCTGGAGTCTGCAGTCTGCAGTCTGGAGTTCGCAGTCTGGAGTCTGCAGTCTGGAGTCTGCAGTCTGGAGTCTGGAGTGTGGAGTCTGGAGTCTGTACCTGGAGTCTGACTGCAGTTCGAGCGGACCCGCCGCTGGATCTTCGCGTGCCAGCCGCGAGTGCAATCTGAGCGGGCCCGCCGCTATATGACCGGGCCCGCCGCGATGTGAGTCTGCGCGGGCTAGCCGCGAGTGCAGAGCGTCTGCGCGGGCCAGCCGCGAGTGCAGTCTGAGCGGACCAGCCGCTGGGTGTCTGCGCGGGCCAGCCGCGAGCGCAGTCTGAGCGCACCAGTCTGCGCGGGCCAGCCGCGAGTGCAGTCTGAGCCGACCAGCCGCTGCGATATGCCGACCTGTCGTATTCGAAAAAATATACGCACGCATCGCCCGGTGTAAGATTTGGACTCGCGTTCAGCGATGTGCTTTTGCGACACGTCAGGAGTAAAGCGCGCGTGCTTCTTTCGCATGAGGACGCGCGTCAAGACTCAGCGAGGCAAACTCGTGTTGGGCATTGCTCCGCAAACGCTGGATGCCAAAAAGCTGTTTTTCTTAAAATGGTGCAAAAAACTAAATTCCAGCTAAGTTCATTCTAAGTCCCGGCACCCGGAACTTAGCTCGAACTTATAAGTGGGCCTATCTAAGTTAACCCTAGACAAGTAACTTATAACTAGGACTCGGACTTAGCAAACTTATAAGTCCAATTGTCCCACGTTATAAGTCCACTTGTAGTAACTTATAACTCAAGTTATAAGTACGACCCTATCCCAGCACGGGCTCGTTTGCGCGATGGGTACGGTCTGCCGCGTGACGGGTGCCGCGTGACGGGTGCCGTCAAAGGGCGCAGCAGCCAGCGCAATCGCGGAACCAAGGGGGAAGCTGCGTGGGAGGCCGCGCGTTCAGGAAAAGTCAAACAAGTTATGTCGCCGCTCTGAACCAAATCTGATGTGTGCTACAAACAGGCCCAAGCTACTCGCCGCCTCTCAGAGGCGGGATGACTGGGCTCTGTCCCCGCCACACCAACAATCCCGCTTTGCAATTCGCAGGATTGCCGTCCAAGAAGCTCCCACAGACTCAAAGACACACGCCTCCTGCAGCCGTTTACCTCGCATGTCGCGTCCCCATGGGCATTGCCAGTACCAAACGCTTGTTTCCACTCGCAACTTCGTATGTTTCGCATGCTGCGTCCCATTGGGCTTTGCGACTGCCCTGTGTGTTTTTCTGTTCGTTTCACACGCTGCCTCCCACGAGGTTTACACCTTGGGTGCTTTCTGCGCACGAAAGGAACATCTCTGACGCGCGTCCCCATTCAGATCTCCAAGAAACGCAGTTAATCAAATGTGACCCGCAGCCCGAGTCCCATTCAAGCTGCGGATCGGGCGCTGTAGCAGCAGCGTCAGGCTCAGGCTTCTCAGGCTAATCTAGCGCTTTCTTCGCAGCATCACCCTCTCCCAAGCTTGCTTTCGGGTTTGCAAGAAAGAAGAGAAAATGATTTGCGAGATTGACGGCTGGGTTTTCGGGGGGGCGCCTTTTGAGCCGCTGGAAGATTGACAGCTGGTTGTGCTGGTGACGGCGCGGGCGGGGGTGGCGCTGGCGCGGGCGCAATCTTGCGATTGCTGGCGGGGCGCTTGGGTTGGGAGGGTGTTGGTTGAGTTGCTCTTCGGGCAGTGTTGTTGAAGGTGCTGGCGCGCTGTCGTTGGCACGTGTTTCGCGATGTGGGTGTCTATCATTTCAGGGTCAGGCTGCTCAGGCTTCCTCTGCGGGGCCGCAGACACCCATCCTACCAGCAGACCGCACCCATCACACCCGCGGACCACACCCAGCGCACGCCCATCGCACCAACAAACCGCACCCAACGTACCAGCAAGACCGTGCCCGCCGTCAGCCCGTCGCACCAGCAACCGCACCAATCGCACCCAGCAGACCGCACCTACCGCGGCAGCAACTGTACCCACGCAGCCGCGCCCCTATGCGCGCTAGAGACAATGACGCCGGGGCTAGGCCAAGCGCTGGGCAAAGAGCAAGAGCTGGGTAATGACAGCGGTAGATGTCGCGCACTGTAGGCGGGAAAGGGCGTCGTCTTTGGAATTTTCACTTGCTCAGCACAATCCCTTCCAGGCTTATCGTTGAGAACGGACTAGAAGAACGAAAGCAGCAAGCGCGGCGTATGATGTCAAATCCCGTTTTTCGTTTTGCGCGTGATCTGGAGTCCACCCAGGGCAACGCAGAGCAAGTCGCAATTCCACTCTCTCGCGCGACTTGGCTCGCGCAAAGCTGCGCGCAAGTTGCTCTGCGCAAGTTCCTTTGCGTAAGTGCTCTGCGCAGATTGCTCTGCGAGTGCTCGGCCCAAGTGCTCTGCGCAAGTTGCTCTGCGCAAGTTGCTCTGCTTGCTCTGCGCAGGTTGCTCTGCTGAAGTTAGTTTGCGCAAGAGAGCTCTGCGCAAGTTGAATTGTTGCAAGTTTCTCCGTGCAAGTTGCCCTGTGGAAGTGCCAGGCGACGCTTTCTTTGTGCCGTTGCTCTGGGCAAGTGGGAGATCGCAGAGCGCACAGGAACCGCAAAAGTAGAGCAGGTCGGAAGTTTTTTGCACAACTCCTCAGAGGGTGGCGCAAACAACTAGACAAAGTACTCGGCTTTTGCGCGTCAACCGCGCCACTGCACGTAACAAGCCCGCGCGCCGATCCCCCCAGAAAGTCGCGCGGGAAGCCCGCGAAGTAGCAAAGGTCCTCAGTTTTTCCCACAAAGGTCGCGCGAGGCAGCAAAATTCCACAGTCCTTGCACATGGCGGAATCCTTGAGAAGACTACTTTAGACGTCAGGCTGGTCCGGGAAGTGTAGGACTTGCAGCCCCCCAAAAACCCGACGGAGACAGTCTGCCTGTTTGCAGAGCCCATTTTCTCCGCAGAAGCAGGGTGCTTGGGCGCAGGTGACCTGCTTGTGTTGCTTGCCAACGGCCGGGAGCTTCGCGATCACCTCAGACCTGAACCTGGTAGCTCTGAGCACTGGGCATTCAACGCGTCAGGTTTAATGGAGTTAAAGGAAGGTTCTTCTCTGGAGGGGCAACAGCGCAGCCACGGTAGAGCTCTTCCTTTTGAGTGCGTCGCTTTCTTTCTCATGCGCATCATGCGCCGCTCGCCACGTGTCCGCATTTGCTGAGTTCCTGCGGCCGCCTTGTTTCTGCGAATGGTTTTTGGCAAAGTTTGGAGGCTTACCCTGCCCTCAACCACGCTTTTGCCGCCGCTCGTCCGTTTTGCTTTGCTCCAGACTGTTTGGGTCATCGAGCGCGTTTGGGGCTCTCTAAACTTTGTTTGATTCAGCTTCACAAGGCCAAACTTTGGCGCCTCCATCTTTCATCTTTTCGTAGATTCCTCTTGGGGCATCTCGATGTCAAGTGAACTTACAAGGTCTCGCCCTTCTGTACGGCACGCTTCTGGTAGGTTCTGGCTGGCAGTGAGTGTGGCTGCGAGCTGCCGACAGCTCAGCTTGCTCCAGTCAGTGGGACAAGAAGATGTAAACCGCCGAAGCCTTGTTTTGCAATTCAGCTCAAGACTGGGTATTGTAAAAAATAACTTTGGGTGGCTCAGGAGAACCAAGCCAAGACAGAGCATGTGGCAACTCACCCGAGAATTTTTCGACTAAAGCATGCGTTGGTAGACTCCCGAAAACTGACCGTATCTTGAGATCATAACGCAAGCCGTTATATTTGCAGACTGAGACTTGGCCATGTATTGAAACATGCAGATAGGACCCTCTCCACACAGCCGGTGTCCTGCCGCTTTCCGATGAAAACCTGCCCACATTGCTCATCTTCCGGGGAATGATGCGGCTGCGGGCTTTCACACCCTCGACAATGGCTCCGAGAGATAAATGCCCTGTTGAGCCTCAGGTGGCAACTGACAAAGAGCCGGGAAAGACGGATCAACACCTCCAAGCTGCGGGGCTTGGAGTGCGCAGATAGGGATGATGAGCGTGCGTCCATCTCTTTGTGTGACGCGTACCTGCGTGCGTGCGTGCGTGCGTGTGTGCGTGTGTGCGTGTGGTTTGTGTGCTTGTGTGCTCGCATGCGTGTGTGTTGTTTGTGTGTGT